GTGAAAAGAAACGCGAACGTATACATACGGTGTTAATATTAATTTAGTAATTCTGTTAAGTTGCTGAAGCTCGATATTATAAGATAAATATGAGACCAAACAACATACAATTTTCTTGCAATAGCCATTACGTGATTCTTATATGTAGAGTACCTCATATCAAAAACGAATCCGAAATGTTCTATCATGTACCGTTTTTGAAAAATAGTGGTTTTTGTAAAAGTACATGGTTTTCGGGAAAGTGAAGTATTACATGAAAATTAACGATAAGAGAAAGTCGTGAGAGTTCATTTTTGAATCGAGAGATATAGGTGACCTTCCATAATATTGCATAAGTGACGAATAATTCGTGAGGTATTGTATCGTAATGTACTATTTATGTACTACGCAGCCGTCAGCGATGAGTTACAAACGCTAAATTGCTCACTTATGTACGAATCATCCTTTTCATTACGGGTTACACATTTCATTCGATAAAAATCCGTGATTCACTTTTCATGATCCGTCGTTCTTTAATTAGTGCAAATAAAATCAGTAGTGGTCGTTCCACAACCGCGACGACTACGCGTAATTATGCACGCGCCATAATAGGGGCTCGGTCGTTTTATTATTTACAATGAAAATGAACGGTGAAAGGTCGAACAGCAAAAATCGATTTCACTCTCGCGTCGATTTAATGGTCCAGATTTCTGTGATCGCCTGCCGCAAATTAGCGTTAGCTTTCTGCACCAGTCCGCTTCGGTGTACTTGAAACGGTCACGTCGCATTGCTTCTCATCGAAACTATTTAATGAGACGCGATTCCCCAGTTACCATCGTGGGTCTCCATCGGAATCTGATTTTCATTCGAGGTATAAACAAGGAGCATTCTGTTCCCTGATTCTTCAAATCGTTTCTTCACTGCCGATCATCGTTTCTAACTAATAGACTGTTGATTCTCGGGACGTGAAATTAAATGGTCTACGAACGAGCGAATTTATAGAGAAACGACAAACATGACAAACGACAAGGTATTCGAATATTCGCTGCTTTACGTCGTTCGTAAATAATTCTGTACAAGCGATCTTCTAGACCTAGACGATCAAAGTAACGCGATGTGTTTAATTAAGGTGGCCCGATAGTCGAAGATGATTAAAATTCTGGAACGGGACCGAATATTACAAATTACGTTCGAACTTTCTCGTGCACGTGTTATGCACAGAACCTTGTGAGTAGCCGGGTGTACACATACGTCGTATCGTTGATAAAGCCAATTTTATTTCCTGGCTTGACACGAAATTGCATTAATTCAACGTTTGTGGAACCTCGTTGTAACATCGCCGTAAGCCGTAATGGCAGAATAATTAATTTCGCGGGGCAGATTCGGACATAAAAGCCAGCGTTTCTTACGGGAACTTCGTTACACGTTTTTAAAAATGTTTCTATCGCACGCGTCAAAATTTTGTGCGGAACCACGAGACTCTTGTGATATTAGCACGATAGAATGGGTATCAAAGAATCGTAGAGATCTCATTACCGTCGAGGGAAAACGATATTGACGTTTTTGTTGAACAGTGAAATTCTTCAATTCTTATATTAAAATTCTTAGACATACGATTAAAAAGTAAATGTCAACTCTTAGTTATTCATTTTGAATGTTCTACAAAACTGTGCAACGTACCTGCTTGCTGCGTGTTGAAAATAAACCATCCCGTTTTTTCTTTCGATGGCACGATATGTGATTCATCGTCCGGAGAGAGCCAATCGATGGGAGTCGTGTTACTAAAGTTAGGATTCGATTCCTCGACGTACGTGATTGGTAACCACCACTTGGTAGGATATATGTCGATGTTTAGGAACACGATTACGAAGTGTTCCTGTGTCAATTCATAGCCTTCTTTGACTCTCTTAACTATCAACGTCGGATATCCTGAATACTCCACCCAGTTATGCATTATAACTTGCACGGACTGTTTCCATTTAATCTCACTCTCGTCCAAGGCTTTCTGGAGGGATAGGAAAAGCTCATACGAATTCGCATTACGTAACGCGCTGCAACAGATAATATTATTTATTAATGTGAAACAGTACAGAAAAGAGTATAGAAATTGAAAAAGGACAGATAAGAGTGGGAGAACTTTGAATTGGAATTGCAAAGAATTGTTTAATTATCGTTCAGAGGTATTGGGTTCGAGAAGAAAATTCATTCCGATTTTTTATAGAAAATTTATAGGCTACGCATTTAAATTTTGGTATACATCTAGTGATTTATTGAATTATGTACGTGCTATTTTGTTCCACATTTTTTCATGCAATCTTTACACTCCATCCCTAAGAATAGTGCAAACTATGCAGTTGGGCCATTCAAAACTACGTAGCTACTTTTCAGACAATCAAGAAAAACTTCGTTTTAATATCTCCTTTAAGGTACATTGCAGGGCACGTTGGTCTTGAACAATCAATGTTTGGAGTTTGGAATGGAATTGGTTAAAATTCAAGACATAGCAACAACGATTTTCGTTTCACACTGTAACAGTTACTTCATTAAACATCAGCATAATCTCATTGAATAATGAGTTTCTCCAAAGATGCCTGTGATATGATCTTTTAGGAGATATACACATGTCATATGTTTCAATCACAATGATATAATCTTTTACTTCTTAATTCACGTATCAAAAATGGGAACTAACTTTCCAGATAATCCAATACTTGTTTTTCTCATTTTGTTTTATTGAAGACTGTTTTATACGAGAATAAAGCTATACGTACCGGCTTGTCAGATAATATTTCAAGCCCTTATGGAAAACCTCTTCCGTCATAGCGTGAGACATCATTCGAATAACAGAGGCAGCTGTAAGTTATGCAAGTAATGATTTGTATTTACTGTCGAAGTAAGTACAATGCGATGTGTGGTAAGCACTTGTTGAAAATTAAATAAAAAAACAGCAAGCACTCATAATAAAGAGAATGCAAATGGATGCTATTTATACTAATTTTCGCAAAGCTTTAGCGACGCAAAGCGACCCCTAATTCAAGCCCGCTTATTTATAATCTGGCGGTATTTAGAACGTCTTAACTAATCGATAAGATTAGGTAAAGTGTCTCGCTAATGAATAAAAAGAAAACCCGTTGCAAATTTAATACCCATCGGTGTCTACTCCCATATTTCTGTTTATCTGATGTTAAACTAAAACCGTCGAGACTGCGTTTACCGTTCAAATTTGTGTACCTACTTGTCTTTTCATGTATCTAATCGAGATTAAAACAACATCTTTTATTTATTTTTTTTACCTTTCTGGTAGGCGATGATGTCGAAGAGGTCACGGATGTCATTAGGGGTGATCACGTCATGATTCATGGGATGTACTACAGGGAATGCATCAATATCCATCGCGGTCTGTTGCATGGTCTCCACAACAAACATATGGTCTAATCGTAATTCAGGTACTACCTGAATTTCATAATTTCATCATTAGTTGCTGCATTGAAAATTATATCTAGACATAGTAGGTAATAATAATTGAAGAATATTTGATTTTCAGAACTTGTTCTTTAAACGATACTATAGTAAATGACAACATTTCTGTTCACGTCACTCACTCAATGGTTTATTTTTCTATCATCTTAAATCGACGTATAAAATTATAGGAAGATACGTCAGTGAATAGAAATCATGATATTTAGTGAATTGGCTTTTAAACATATTCAACTCAATTACTGCCTGACAGTAATGATAATCATGGTAGAAATAAATAAAGTATATTCTTCCTCCTTAACTTCCCTCCTTTTAACGCAAAATACAGTTAATGAATAAGAAAATATGGATATTACAAGGAAGGGCATGTGATTGGCAGTTCCAATCAGTTGCATAATAACATACCTTATATATTTCCACCATGGTAACAATAGCTGAATGAATAAATGACACTGCCCAAACATTTATACATCCCATGTCAAAAGACATAGTGGTGAATGTCTGTTTTAAGAAGGATTAGAGTATCGTATTTACTTTGTGAGACATGAAGTACTGGAAATAGGTGCCGAATCCCTCGTTCAGCCAAATATAGTCCCACCATGCCGGACTGACGAGATTACCGAACCATTGATGAGAGAACTCGTGAGCGATAATCATGAGTATGTCTATCTTTAAGCGGGTTGAGCTTAAAACCTCGTCGTAAAGGAAATAATTTTCTCTGAAATAGAAATTTGAGTTCATAAAAATTGTAATGTCATTGTAACATCTATACTTTTTATCTAAAACAATGTTAAATTAAGACGATCTATTATTTTAATAGTATGTTCTCTATTATAATCGTGTAGGTAAATGTACTAACCGTTTTGATATTCATATAAAATCTATTTAATTATTTAGTATAAATAAACATAATACTTGGAACGTTGAATTTTAAGTAACTACTAAAAACTTGAAAACTTGAACGTGGATAATATGCAACACGTTCTAGCAGAAAATTAAAAACTCAACCACTATTAGTACTGCAGACTTTTAAGCCAAATAGAATATTTATGTTGTCAATTTAAAAAATGAAATCTAGATTGAAAATTCTTTCACCCTCCGAAAATAACGAACTGTATTATATGTTCTACGTTCGTCAGACTTTTGTTGCACTCATTCTTTATATCTCTGGCACATTTAATTTCCCTATGTATGCATAAAATCTATTAATGATAATAAATTAGCATCCCGCGATTCGATCATACAATTTGATAGAATGATTCATTACAAGGAACGAAAAATCCCTTGTATTTTCTTATATCGATACTAATAATAAGTATTTCCTCATCTTTGTATCGCGAACTTTCGTTGGTCGTTAATCCCATCGGAAAAGCAATTTGTACTTCGAATGTCCGAACCCATCATGTCAAATTGATAAGCGATAAAATCCGTTGCATTTTGATCGCGACATTCATTGCTCCTACATACCTGTAAATCACGAGGCCCCAATTTTCCATGGCATCGGGCCGGAAGTCATTTATTGAGAGTTGATCTATTTTGTCTGGCATGTATGTCTGGTACGAAATATTCGTGTAAGAATTCAGCAGTTCTAGAAACTTCCTACCCATTTTCAAAACGTAGTCTGTCTGATTTATCGCACTCGCCTTCGTCCACACTCTATAGGTGAAGTTGCCGACTTTATCTTCCTTAAATTGATAATTGCCTACAACGAATGCTACCAAATAAGTAGACATCAATGGTGTCTGTTTAAACGAAGTAGTTATCATGCCATCTTTTTCTTCTTTTTTTAGTACTTCCGTATTAGAGAGTGCCTGCAAGGTTTTATTGTGTGTCACGCTAATGGTGAACTTCGCCTTGAAGACGGGCTCATCCCAACATGGGAACGCTAGTCGAGCGCCCGTCGGCTCGAAATGAGTCGTTAGAACGTACCCGCTGGAATTGAAGAAAAATTAGATTTTACTTAATTCGCACGAAGACTGAGTAATTTTTCAAAAAAGAGATGAGAATCTTATGTAATGTATTATCTACCGCATGTGACACTGGGTAAAACGCTTAAGTTTATTGAAATGGAAAGTTAAGTATCCAAAAAATGATTTGAACTGACATTTTACAAGATTCAAGAAGTATCTAACAATATCTGAGTAAGTAGGAGGCAGAAATTTCGTCATGTCACAACTTTATAAGTACAGTACGTTCCATCTATATTCGTATCTATTTCTGAATTGAATAAGTTTCTTAACATTGGAATGAACTATTTAATTTGTTTTCGTTAGTTTGCTATATATGATAAATGATCCGATTTCTATTCAAGTCCTAACTTCTACTCACTGATGAATTTTTATAGAATTTTATACGGTACCTTAAATCGTTTTTAATTTATTATATTATTTCTTTTCTTGGGGACTTTTACGAAATTTTTGTTACACATTAAAGTAATTATTTCATTTTCTATTCACAATTTTTTTGTAATTTCATATGTAATCTTAAAACGATAGAAACATAAGGCGTGAACAGAAATTGGGACACTTAACTTAATGTGTAACAAAAAATTGCTATTCGTCAGAGATTCCACGAAAATTTGGAAAAATGATTTTTGTACAACATTTATATACATCGTACTCAATTTGATGAAAATCGTTTACGGTTCTTCTGGCTATAAGTTAAAATAGTGGCACACACAGAGTGTCCCAAAAAAATGTATACACGTTTTAAATAATCGTAAAGTCGGTGTTAATTCAAATACATTTCATTTTCAAAATGTAATACATTCTACAAACGTTATTTAATAAGTGTATGAACATTTTTTGGGACACCCTGTATTTGAAATTATGCAGACAAACATGAAGCACAAATATGATAGAAATTGAGAAGCTCATTTTGAAGTTATATCAATTTACAGTTAATATATATTAGTGAAATAAAGCTGCATTAAATTGAATAAAAATAGTGTCAGGATTTTAAAGTTTCTTACACTAGTAATTAATTATGTAATACTAGCTGATAATTATCCGGCGTTGCCCGGGTGTTTATTTTTCCAACCTTCTATCATTCAGAAGAAGTGAGAGATGAACGCTTGTTAGTACCGTGTCGATCAACGGTCATCGGTTGTATTATAAAGTTGAACCAATAGAAAAACAAAGTTTGTACACAATTTATATCGAGAGATGAACCAAGTTTGAACGTCGGCTATATTCTAAATTATAATCTAAATTAAGAAACTTAAATTACTTGGCACCTGTTAACAATTTGGAAGAAAGTATAAGAATCACAATTGTAAAACGTAAAATGTTCTGTAGCTTTTATTATAAATATTTATTGACGTGAACGATATTACTGCAGATTCTCAATTCACACCCTCTACACTTGCCCTTTCTCTACTGTGTGCAAATTAAATTAAAAATAACGTATCATTTGACTTTATGTAACGGTAACTCGAATATGTAAAGTCATTATAATGTGCATGCAATAAGAAAGACAGTTATTAAAATTTAGGATAATGTAAACTATAGTCTCATTCGGAGTTGTGAGGTTGAATACGAATACATACATATTAGTAACAGATTTTAAACAAAATGTTGAATGATGATTTGAATTTGACGGCGTGCGAATGTGAAAGGAAGTTCGAAGAAGAAGCACATAAATGCTAAGCTAAAGATGAACAGAAGATAGTTCTAGCCTGTGGAATTAATATAAATAAGGCTACATATTAAGACTGTACAATGTTATTTGTAATAAATAGACAGCTACTCAGACATGTACGAATTAAATTAAGATTGTTCTATAAAAATATATACAATATATCTGAAGAAATATAGAAATATGTATGGACTGAGCAAATAACATCAAAATAGAAATATTAATTTCATTAATAGTAGTAATTAAAAGTTTGAAGATAAGAAAAGAAATATTGTTATATATTCATGATTGACGCATGAAAAATCTCTCATTCAGTTGAAAATTAAATACAATAATAGAACTATATTTCAGAACATAGAAAAAAATCAAGAATCAAAGTAAATGTCCCAATTTTTGTTCCCAATTTCTACTCATTTTTAGATTATTTTATGGTAACATATAAAATTATAATAAAATAAGCCAGTGAATATAAATCATGAAATGAACAGAAATTGGGGTCTAATAAATATGAATAAATAGAGGGTACAATAAGGAGTATCAGATTCAATAAATCAGCAAATGGAACAATTTACAATAAATAGACTGCGGATCTCATGCATTTATAGCAAAATTGACCACATAAAGAAGTAAAAATACACACAATGGACAAAAATCTATAAATTATTGAGAACAAAATGCATAAGTTTTACAGGATTGTAAAACATTATTATTAAGCATTAAATGTGTGTGAGAATTCGAAAATGTCGGGACGAGAAGTTTTCTTGGGTTTAGAACAGGTCCTCGCAAATTTGGAGATTCTTAAAAATGTCGAGATTCTCGAGAATATTCAGGTTTCTCGAAAACATTCGGGAGGTAACGATTATGATATTTTATGTCCAATTTTCATACGAAAAGACTGATTATTACTTACTTGGTATATTATTTCCACCACATTTTTCACATTTTATTACTCTAGACTAACAAATAAAATAAGTAAAAACGAGAATGAAGGAATAAATTTTATAATACGATTTTCATGATCATCGTAAACCTAATATGATTTTCGAAAATGTTTGAATTATCGTCAATCTCACACTCCGTGTGATTATGTTGGGTCTCATAACAATAATCGAATCGTCGAAATTTGGAACATATTCAGAAATCCTGAAATTCTGGAAAATTCGCCTCATTCCGATTCTCGATATTTTCCGGTTCTCATACACCTCTACTAAATATCATTCCATAAACTGATTCCTATAACTTTTATCGTACATAAAACTCTCATTCCTTAATCTTTAACATTATATTAATTAATTCGTCATTAAATTTATTTTTGATTCAAGTTAAGTTAGTTAATTTTGTTATACTCATAGAGTATTCTATTTATTATTTCTGTTCTGTTCTTCAATTTATATTTTGTTAAGATATTGTTATCTTTTTTGTTCAAGTTCATATTTTTGCCATCTAATGTTAGTATCTCAAATTTGTCACACTTCTCTTGTTTTCCTTTATATATTCCAAAGAGCTTATGCTCGTTAATAATAATAGTAACAATAATAATGATAATAATGATAATAATAATAACGCAATCTTACGTGACATTGTTCCCTTCCATGACCCTGCTCTTATAAAATCCTCTCATATTTTCATTGAAAATTCCAGCATATCTTATCTGAAGCGAATAATAATGATCCATTTCAAACATGGGTGTTACCGTAATATTCATGATCTCGTGCTCTTCGTCCGGTAGATACAGACTTTCCAAAGTCCTCGTTGTATTCAAATCCACGAATTTAATGTCATAAATTGTCAAGTCTTTTAAGTTCAACGTCAAAATATCGTTCGTTATGAACGCTATTAATGTGATGTTCACTTCACCCTCAAATGTGGATTTTACAAAATCAGGCGTGATATGCAATTTGTATTCGATCGGTAATACTGTGGACGGCAGCAGATATTTCCAGTCCACTTGGTCTCCGTCGACAATTTCGAACGGGAATCTCGCCTGGCAGATCCCCAGGACGAGGAGAAACGTTACAAATGTTCTCGTCATTTTAGATTCGCTGGCTGCGCTCAGTATCCAGCGTTCACCGCCGTTTTCTAGTTTATAATTACTGATTAATAAAACAGTATTACTGCTGAGAACGCCTCAACTTCTAACACCTCGGACCGTCGGACACGCGATATTTACTAACTTACTTTTAGCAGTACATATCATCGGTCGCCGCGTTGCATATATATATTTATAAAATAAATACAAAGGAGGAACCGTCCGCGCAATGCGATAAATTTCTGACTTTTAACTCGTTAACTGTTATGTATGTATAATTTGCAAGTATTTATCAATGCAGAGTTAGAAAACAATAATCTTAACTAACAGCTAGTACTGGTTGGAGAATCACTCGTTTACGAATTCAATCTCGTCTTCATTCTATTATATTATCTTTTGAAATCGTTCGATGTATAATTGGCTTGACAACGTACCTTGAGATTCGACTACCGTAACAGGGGTGTATTTACACGTCGGCGAGCGCCGACAGACCACATCATTACAAGTGTCCCTGCTTTATAAGGTGGCTATGGTGGAGCTCTTATCGAAATATGCTTGAATTTCGTAATCTCATCAGTCGATGTCATTACAATTAGTGTCGTCACGATCGGCGTTATTACATTGTCGCCGTACCGGTTATGTAGTAAAATTATGCTTCCGATTTTTGAATTGTTTCTTAGAAATTTACTGATAACCATTTATGTTATCGACTGCATTCGATGAATTGAATATGGAGCACGTAATACATTTTGTGTTGAAATCAGGACACAAAAAGTTCCTTCTTTTGTACGAATTTTCACATGCATATCATATAACGCAATAAATATTATCGCAATCAGCTAACATTATAAATAGATTCCTTCTGATCTCCAATTTTTACATGTTGTACTTCCTGCCTATTGAAACGTTGTTTGGATTTATCAATGATGATTTATAAAACCTCATTTAGTATTTAAAGAGGAAAAATAGAACTCCGGACGCAGTTCTCACGCGCAAATGAAAGATACTTAGCTTCAACTTTTGGTAAATTAAACCTTTTATCTTTTCAAGAATATTCAAGTCGTTTGTAAGACAACTATTCTGTTTTAGAAAGTGTTCACTTAATATTATCCCAGACAGTATTTCAGTCATCAAAACGTTAATCATATTCAAAGAATGAATGTTTAAAACAAGTACTATTTTATTTGAGCAAGCAAATATCTCAATTAATGTGAAACTTACACTTTTTCTCCACGTTCATTCCTGTACCTATCCTTGAAGAATCCGAACATCTCAGTGGTCTCATTCCCACAAAATTTTATGTTCGAAGTGTGCACCCCGACTTTCAAAGGCTTATCGAAATGAATCGTCACGATGTCCGTTTCGTCATTCTCGTTGCACCATTGCGGGTTAATCATTTCTCACTTTCCGGTATCAATTCTATGGAGCTCTCGTTCGAATTCAAACGCTGCAAATGAAATTTAACGTCTGCCGTTGGCTCGAGGACTTTTCATTTTATGACAGCTTCGTCGTCGAATGTAAAGGGGTCCACGAGGTCTGGGTCAAATTTCAATCAATGGGTATAGGTATCGTGGTGCTTGGTAAACGGTACTTCATTTTTTCGCTTTCATGCTGCTTACTGCGTCGTTTTGAACTGGAAACGCGTTACTTTAATT